AATAACTTGCTTTTAATACCTATACGTTGTGTCCCTACTTCAGGCATGGTGGTTTTCTGGAACCTTCCCACTAACTCACCCCTGCAGCGGATACGGCTCTCCGATGGCTCCTTAAAGATCTACCCCTTCCAGTGTTTCCTAGCCCATGATCAGGCTGTGCGTACCCTTCAGTGGTGCAAAGCTAACAGGTATAGAATAGGAGATCTCTGGAGGGGGAAGGTGAATATTGGGACAGGCTGACTCTTCCAGATTTATTCGGATTTGACCTTTTCCCATCTTTTCACAGCCATTTCCTTGTCTCTGCGGGGAGTGACCGGAAAATCAAATTCTGGGACTTACGACGACCTTATGAACCCATAAATTCTATCAAGCGCTTCTTGAGTACAGAGCTGGCCTGGCTGCTCCCCTACAATGGCGTCACCGTGGCTCAGGACAACTGCTATGCCTCGTACGGCAAGATGGATAGGACCTCTGGGGACAGGCCCTAAGGGTTGGGGTGCAAAGCGTGCCAGATTGTTGTGGGGAGAGAAGGGTAGAGAGTTGGTTCACTGAGATGGTTTAAATTCTGGAAGAGGTTAAGGAGAAGAAATGAATCTAAAGAAAAGGAAGGTTTAAATTTATTTCTCTCTTAACAGTTATGGACTCTGTGGGATTCATTATATTGATGCTGGTTACTTTGGTTTCAAAGCCTACTTCACTGCTCCTCGCAAAGGCACTGTTTGGGTGAGCCCCTCTTTCTTCTTCATTACACAGGAAAACCATTCATTTATGCACTATTAGTGGTCAGGAAGAGGCAGTAGTTTGGGATAGAAGGAGAAGATAGGTGTGTGGTATCTCTTATCAGGGCTGTGGGTTATAATAAACTCATTTTGTGTGCGCGTATATCAGACTGCAGTTGTTACCAGTTCAGCTCTGAATAAATGAATGAATGAATGAAATCTGTCTCTTTCTATTAGAGTCTTTCAGGATCTGACTGGCTTGGGACCATAGCTGCAGGAGATATATCTGGGGAGCTCATTGCTGCTATATTGCCAGATATGGCACTGAATCCAATAAATGTCAAGCGACCTGTAGAGCGAAGATTTGTACGTATATGAACACCTAACAGCAGCTGTTGGATCCTATAACCCACATGCCCTCCCCATTTCTGGTAGAGTACAAATTAGTGCTAGGTCTCCCAAACCTGATATTATCCCAGAGAGTCTTAGCACAGAGTTGTGTATAATCTTCCCTACCCTACTGCATCTGAGCATATATTTAAACATACTACTTGCTTCCATCTTTAACCTTTTCCTGCCCAAACCAGTTTCCTCTCTCTCTGCTTTGATTCTGTCTTTAGTACTATAGAACCTAATTTCATGGTCTCCTTTCAGCCTATATATAAAGCAGATCTGATACCATATCAGGACAGTCCTGAAGGTCCAGACCATTCTTCTGCTTCATCTGGGGTCCCTGACCCTCCCAAGGCTCGAACTTACACTGAAACTGTCAACCATCACTACTTGCTCTTTCAAGACACAGATTTGGTAAGTTGAGGCCAGGACAATGGGTGTGATATTAGAAAAGGTAGAAAATTTTAGTCTTTGTATAGTATGCAATCCTGAGTTTAGCACAAAGATGTAAAACTAAGGAGCTTCAGCTGAGCTGTAATCCCAACTTTGGGAGGCCAAGGTAGGAGGATCACAAGGTCAAGAGATGGAGACCATCCTGGCCAACATGGTAAAACTCCGTCTCTACTAAAAATATAAAAATTAGCTGGGCCTGGTGGCACGTGCCTGTAGTCCCAGCTACTCAGGAGGCTGAGGCAGGATAATCACTTGAACTCAGGAGGCGGAGGTTGCAGTGAGCCAAGATCGCGCCACTGCACTCCAACCTGGCAACAGAGCGAGACTCTGTCTCAAAAAAAAAAAAAAAAAAAAAAAAAAGCAAAACACAAACAAAAACTGGCCAGGTGCAGTGGCTTAGGCCTGTAATCCTGTAGACCCAGCACTTTGGGAGGCCAAGGCGGGCAGATCACCTGAGGTCGGGAGTTTGAGACTAGCCTGACCAACATGGAGAAACTCCGTCTCTACTAAAAATACAAAAATAGCTGGGCATGGTGGCGCAGACCTGTAATCCCAGCTATACTTGGGAGGCTGAGGCAAGAGAATCACTTGAACCCCGAAGTGGAGGTTGCGGTGAGCTGAGATCGCAACAAGAGTGAAACTCCATCTCAAAAAACAAAAACAAAAACAAAAAAAACTAAGGAGTCTCTCACTTTCTCTCCTGTTCCATTTCCCTTCCCCAGGGTTCATTCCATGATCTGCTCCGGAGAGAACCAATGCTGCGCATGCAGGAGGGAGAGGGGCATTCTCAACTCTGCCTGGACAGGCTGCAGCTGGAGGCTATTCATAAGGTAATCTTTCATCCTTGCCACCCTTCACTCATTTCCCCCCAGTTCTCTGGGCCTGGGGCTGATGAAATGGGAGATGAAAAGGTTACACAGATGACAGCTGCCTCCTCCTCCAGAGCATGACAGAAGTACTTCATTCACTGGCTTCTCATTCTTACCGCTCTCGGTTGTAGCTCACTTCTTTTTACTTGTATAGCTAGGAGTCACCCTCAAGCGCCACTCATGAGCATCTCTGTTTTCTCTTCTCTTCACAGGTACGTTTCAGCCCAAACCTGGACTCCTATGGATGGCTGGTATCTGGGGGGCAGTCAGGGCTGGTTCGAATCCATTTTGTCCGTGGACTTGCCTCCCCACTGGGCCACCGTATGCAGCTTGAAAGTCGAGCCCACTTCAATGCTATGTTCCAACCATCCTCCCCCACTAGACGGCCTGGCTTTTCTCCAACCAGCCATCACCTTCTGCCCACTCCCTAGCTTTGGTCCACGACAGACCCTTGGAGTGAAGTCAGTCAAGAACAAATGGCCCCTATGCACAGAGCCATAGGAACTGGGGGCCTTCCCTGGACACTGATCATGCCAGGCCTGGACCTTTAGGCCTGCCTCCCAGGACTCCTTAGATCCCACTCTTTCCACAGACTTCTGTGATCACAGCCCCCTGCGGGCAGGGGGGCTCTCCCTCCACAGACTCTCAAGGCTCCTCAGCTTAAGACTATGGCTCATGAGAAACACTCAGGCCTGACCTAGGCTTGGGAGTCAAACTGCTCATATTGAGCGTATTGTTAAGTGGGTGAAGCTTAAGTAAAGGTACTGGGTGTTTTTGCGACCACTTGTGAATGGGTGTATGGACAATTGAAAAAGGTATCTGCATGAAGGCTCCTGTCTGACTATTTCAGGATACTATATTACTGCCTTCTGAAACTTCCTCTTGAGGGTAACCATTATATATGCCCATGAGGGTGATAGTAATTTGTGAGACTGAAGTTGCTTTGAGTACTACTTTGACCAAGGAACACCACGAACACCCTACCGATAGAACAGTAGCTCAGATCTTACTTGCTCCTGCTTACGAAGTATTCCCAATCACTGGTCATCTGACCCTACTTGAACACTCCTGAAGAGTCATGTTTTTTAAAATCTTCCTTTATATCAAGTCAGAGTATACCTCTATAAATTTTACTCATGGGTGTTAGGAAATTTAGTCCTCTTCCTGTGATTGCCCTGTTAAGTAACCATAGCGATCATGTGTTTCCCAAGTCTTCTCTAGATTAAATATTTTCAGTTACTTCAACCATTCTTTTACACGTCATGATTTTTGATCCTTCATGATACTGTCACATTGTTGACTTATTAGAATGATTACTTCAGTTCTACATAAAGGAGGTGTTTAGAACCCAAGTACAGTAATGTATTGTTATATCTCATCTTGTTAAGAGTCCTCTCATGGGATACTGCCCCCTAAGCAAAGACAGATGCTAGTGGTGAGAAACAGGCAAACCATGGTCTTGAAATGCCTAGAACTATAGGCTGGGGTTTGGAGGGAAAAAGATGACCTCAGGAAATAGAAAAAAACAGGCAGCTGTTTTTTTTTTGGAGGGAGTGGAGATGAGATCAGTGCCTACCTGGTATGAACCCCTCTGGCATTCTAGACTGACCAAATACGTAGTGTAGGGATATATCAGAAAATGTCCTTTAAGAGGGGATCAAGAAGTTTAGTCCTGGCCAGGTGCAGTAGCTCATGCCTGTAATCCCAACACTTTGGGAGGCTGAGGCGGGTGGATCACTTAAGGTCAAGAATTCAAGGCCGTCCTGGCCAACATGGTGAAACCCCATCTCTACCCAAAACAAAAAAAATTAGCTGGGTGTGGTGGTGTGCAATCCCAGCTACTTGGGAAGCTAAGGCAGGAGAACCACTTGAACCTGAGAGGCAGAGGTTACAGTGAGCTGAGATCATGCCACTGCACTCCAGCCTGGGTGACAGGTGAGACTCCGTCTCAAAAAAAAAAAAAAAAAAAAAGTTCCATCTCCATCCTTTCCAGATGAGAAAACAGACCTGGAGGAAACCCAAGTCCATCAATAGCAGAGAGAGAACCCATGTCAGTGCAAAGAAGCCAAGTGTTGCACTACCCTATTGGGATCCAGCTCACATTGAGCCAGTTTTTTGAGCTGTTAGGCGAGTGCCTTCTGTCAAAGAAAAGCTTTACTCAATTCTACAGGGCAGCCCCTTTTTCCTATTTTCAGTGGTAGAAAAAATGGGACCTGGGGCTCCACGCTTGAGAGACTGTAGTGTAGGTTGGTGCTGACAGCCCTGCTTCTGCAACTGAGTCTCAGCCCTAGTCTTGACCTTGTTCCTTTTCTCTACCAAGAGCTTTTTCTCTTTCCAGCTCTCCCTCCCAATATATCCACTTCATACTATCCATTGTTCATAGACTTTTCTACCTTTATTCCTCTTCTCATACTCCTCCCTTTGCCAGGAGTGTCTTTTTCCACCATCTTCATCCGAGTTCAATTCATCCTTCAAGGTCCCTGCTCAAATTCCACCTTCACCAAAGAGCTTCCCAGTTTTCTCCAGTTAAAAAAAAAAAAAAAAAAAAAAAAAAAAAAAAAAAAAAAGTCTCCTTTGTGTTCCCACGGGAGAAGGAAGGAAAAAGGATAAACAAGCATTAAGCGCTTGATCCGTTTCAGGCAATTTGCATATGTCACTTGTATGAGGTAGGCATTGCCATTTTAATGATATAAGAGGTGGAGAGGGTAAGCAGTCTGTAAAAGGTCAAGGTCATATAACTAGTAAGTGGTGGTGCTGGGGATATGAACTCAGTCTAACTTCAGAATATAACTTTACAGCCTACCACATTTGGTCTCCTATTACATTTACTTGTGTTAACTCACTTCTCTAGCATGCTGTTTTGCAAATAGAAGCGTTTTAGTTAAATGTTTGTGACACTGTATTCCTTGATTCCTCTACTCTTTCTCCAGGATTTGTGGCAGGAGTCTCCCTGCCTTAATAAAGGAATTGGGTGAATTGGGGATGGAGCTGGGCAAGTGGACAGCCTGAAAAGAGTCTGCCTCCTGATGTTTGGGCTCCCAGGAGATAAGTAAAGCCTGCCAGCCTAACATCCATTGCCAGGGATCTTGTAGACATTTCCAACGCAATAGAAAAGATATTGATCTATAGTCACTGACTCTTAGAATGTTAGAGCTGGAACGGATAAGCTCACTGGTTTTCAAACATGCAGTTGTGGACCCCCCTTGTTAAAAATGGGTCTTTTGAGAAGTACGTATTTTTTAAAAAAAGAAGCGGCTGTAGTAATACCGCCCCTCTAGTACCCCTACACATAAACATCTGAAAAACTAGAACTGAGCCGATTTGGAAAGTCTATAGTGTACCCCCGCCCCCCTCATTTTACAGATGCGGAGCCTTAAGACCAAGTCTAGTCATGACCAAGGCTGCACAGCCCGTTAGTTAGGGAGCCAATACCTAATGTCTTCTGAGGTTCTAATTCCAGTGCTTTCTGTGGAAGAGTCACATGTATGCAATATTTGTTAAGTGGCTGTTTGCAGCAAAGCACTGAAATAGTTGCATGAGGACAAATATGAACGACTCCAGTTTCACCCACTCATGAGCTCACAGTTGAGGCTAATGAAGAACCTAGAGACAAAAAATAGCTTATAGCTCCCGAACTACGATTGCTGAGAAAAGGATGTCAGGACCGTGGGAAGTTCTTGCGGGGGAGGGTGGGCTGAATAATGAGACTACCGGATTGAGAGAGGCCCGGGCCTCGAGGGGAGAGAAGGGGCTGGAGGAGGCAGAGGGTTGAACCCAGGTAGGAAGTAAGGCCGGCAGGGTCCACACAAGGGTCCGGCGCAGTCTAACTGGAAAGGGGGTCGCTCACGGAGTGGGTGAGGGAGTTAAGTCGCTCTCAAGGGGTATCTGGCTCGGTTCACTCCCATTCCTTTCCTGGGTGCAAAGGTCCATAGGACGCTGGGCGGAAGGGGCGGGACTTGGTGCGGAAGGGGCGGGCTTTGGGCGCGGAAGTTCCTAGGCCATCCTGTTACGTGGGAGGGAGGCTCTGCGCCCAGCTCGCGCTCAGGTGAGTGGTGGATGATCTGCAGTCACTGGCTCAAAGCGTTGTAAGCCGTGAACGCCCGCAAGGCGTGTGGTCATTCTGTATTCGGGCAGTGATGGGCCCTGTTTTGGGTCTGGAGCTGGACTCAGGAAGGTTACACACTGGTTGCAACCAAGTCTGAATCTGGAGATGGACCAAGCTATCTTTTTCAGGGACCTAATCTCTGGATGGAAGCCAGAGCAAAGCTGCCCTCTTGAGTGTCTCGGTCGGGAACCGAGGCCTCCATTGGCCCTGCTTCAGGACTGAGGGTGGGGTGGCTGGTGGCGGCTACTGGGAGTCCATAGCTTCCCACAGCCTTTCTCTCTTCCCCGATTGTCTAAGGCGACTCCTGCAACGGGAAGCTGTCTGGGAAGCATCTCGAATGTGGCCTCTGCCCCTTTAAGTCACATTGGAAGTGGGAAGGGCAAGGGAGTGCGCACAGGGAATGTCAGGCGGCTCCTTAGTTGTGGAAAGGGACAGTGGGGGTGACCCCCTCTTCTCTTGGCTTGACAGGAAGCATGGCACTCTGGCGGGCATACCAGCGGGCTCTGGCTGCTCACCCGTGGAAAGTACAGGTCCTGACAGCTGGTGAGTGTCCCTCTAGGACTTGAGTGGGACCAGGGCAGGCTGATTTGGAAGCCAGAGGCTTTTCTCACTGCACCACTCTCACTTTCTGTTTCTATTCAGCCCTCTTGAAGGGTTGGCTGGCTTTCATCCCACACTGTCCCCAGTCTGTTTTGGAGGGCGGCCCCCAAGGCTGTTTTTAAGGGGTCTGCATAGTTGGCCAAGCTGTGCAGTAGGGTTTTAGGATTTCAAAGTCCTCAAAAAGCTGAACAGTCAGTCCTGAAATAGGATAAAGGCATTGTCCCAGAAGACCCCAACTTGGAAAACTAACATTTTACTGTATGCAAAGCACTTTCATATACATTATAGCATAGGGCCCCCACAAAGTTGTGTGAGCTAGGAGGGTTGAGTCCACATTAGATCATACCTAATAAGTGCTGAATCAAGACTCCTACCCCAGTTTTTCCTGGTATTTTTTATCGTGAAACATACAAAAGAATGACTGAGACATGTATGTACAGTTTAAATAGCATTAAAACTGAACATTTCTGTATCAGCAGCCAGCTTTGAGATCTCTTGAGCACCTCTCCCTAATTCACACACCTAAATTTCCTGAGTTTTGTTTATATCATTCGTTTGCTTTTCTTATCATTTACTGTCTAAATATGTATCTCCAAATGGTATCCGATCACTCCATCCTGATCCATTTGGAGTGATCAGATACCAATCATTCCAAATGCAGTGACTGAATACTAACCTCACAGAGGTAAAGCAGTGACTTATCAACATTTGTTACCATCTTCATTTTGCAAGTTAGCTAATGTGAGAGGATGGTGCGAAGATAAGTAAGTCTTATAAGGGGAATGATTAGAAGGCCTTAGACCATTGGGGTACAAAGGGTAATCACATTAAGATGAGGTTTTGCCCATGTTTAGAGGAGGGGAACAGGATTCTAGTGATGACTGGGCTTCTGAGAAGAGGACTATTGGAAGAGATTGGGGGCTACTGAAAGCCAGAGTAGAACAGGGGTCCTGTGACCAGAATAGCACTACATCAGCACTAGGAACTTAACTGCATGAATGGCCAGGAGATGGATTATTTGGCCCTTCCCCTAGCCCCTCTCCAGTCTCCGGTGCCCAACCACCTCTTGCCCTGTCGTCAGTGTCCGTCAGCCTGTATGACTCACCTGGCTGCGTGTGTGGTGACTCATGCTGGGCAGTGTGGCTGTGATGGGAACTGACACGCTGGGCCCTTTGCCCAGGCTCAGATTCCCCCAGGGCCCGTAACTGCCAGACGGAAGCTTCCCCCTTGTGGTCATCAAGAATAGGGAGGGAAGGATAGTCCTTGTATTTCCCTACCCAAGGCATCTGCAGCTGACAAAGGCAGGAGCTAGAGCTCCAAGGAAGCCTAGGTGCCAGCATGTGGCTGAACTAGGGTTCTGGTCTCTTGGTGCTAGAGCCGTTCAGCTCCACAGCCTTAGTCTTCCTGAGGCTGTGCTGACATCCCAGCTCTGCCCTGTAGCAAATTGTAGCCTCCCAGCACTTTTCCCAGACTTTTTCAGACCATTCAGACTTTTTCTTCCCTCCTGTTCAGGGTATTTGGATCAAACTACAAATAAAGGGGGAAAGTGGCTTTAGCTCACTGAGCCACCCAGCATAGTAGTTCCTAACGTTCCATGGAATAGCTCATCACCCTAGAAAACAGTACAGAGACTTCCAACTTAGAAGACCAGCATTTGAATCTTAGAGCTATCACACCTAGTAGGTGCATTAATCAGGACAAGTCAGTAAGCTTCTTTGAGCCTCAGTTTCCTCTTTTAAAACTTGAGTTTAAGCTAAGCATGGTGGCTCACGCCTGTAATCCCAGCACTTTGGGAGGCCAAGGCAGGCACATCACCTGAGGTTGGAAGTTTGAGACCAGCCTGGCCAACATGGTGAAACCCCGTCTCCACTAAAAATACAAAAATTAGCCAGGCATGGTGGTGCGTGCCTGTAGTCCCAGCTACTTAGGAGCCTGAGGCAGGAGAATTGCTTGAGCCCAGGAGGTGGAGGTTGCAGTGAGCTGAGATCATGCATTCCAGCCCGGGAGACAAAGTAAGACTCTGTCTCAAAAAAAAAAAAAAGAAAGAAAGAAAGAAAGAAAAAAGAAAAGAAAAGAAATACTCCTTAGGACTGTCTGGATGAATAGTTCTTTCTTTTTTTTGTAAGTAAGTCTCATGAAAATAAATAGTAATCTCTAGAGAAAAGAAGAGACCTTTATCTGCTGCTCCCATCCCATGTTGGTCAAAGATTCACCCCATGTCTGGTGCAATGGCTCACACCTATAATCCCAGCACTTTGGGATGCCAAGGCGGGCAGATCACTTGAGGTCAGGAGTTCGAGAACAGCCTGGCCAACGTGGTGAAATCCCATCTCTACTAAAAATACAAAAATTAGCCGGATGTGGTGGTGGGCACCTGTAATCCCAGCTACTCAGGAAGCTGAGGCAGGAGAATTGCCTGAACCCAGGAGACAGAGGTTGCAGTGAACTGAGATTGTGCCATTGCACTCCAGCCTTGGTGAGACTCCATCTCAAAAAAAAAAAAAAAAAGATTCACATCATGGGATAACTCCCCTCCACTACTAGTTTGCACATGCACAGTCACTGAAGCCATCAACAGCAAAGGCCCAGGTACAGCATAGGCCCGAGGCAAGGATCTATCCTGCTGAACTGTAGTAATGGCTGGAGTAAGAGATAGGTAAATAAGAACATTTGAAATTATTCAAAAGAAATGTCTAGTATTCCAGTTTTGGCCAAGCCAGAGTCAGGAACAGGTTAGTCTGGGGGAAGATTGGCTGCATGTTCTGCAGAGTGTGAGTCAGCCTTATCCCTTCCTTCTTCGAGGGTCCTTCCACTCTCCAGTGGGCCCAGGGCCCAGCTTCATCCATCTTAGTCCACCTTGGTCCTGCTGTGGGAGCCCCTGAGTTCCTACAGATACTGGTTTCCCTGGAGTTTAAATTAAGTGAGGGCGTGAGAGCTCAATAGACCTTACAGACCATCCAGTCCAGCCCATGAGACTGCAGAGAAGGAAACTGAGGAAGGAGGGGTGAGTGTCATGCACTGAGGTCTCAGGTGGTCAGTGGTAGAGCTGGTGTTATAACCCAGGGCGCTGCCTGCCACACTGCCTTGCGCTTGAGACTACTGGAGCCTCCAGATGGTGGTCTAGGCTTAGATACCTGACAAGCTGCAAAACTACCCATTTTTTCTCATTTTCTAGCAGTAGGATGGGTTCAGGCCAGAATGGGAGAGCATTCAGAATAATCCCAGAGGACCCACTCTCCCCTCCCACTGCTGGGCTTCCACTCCCTCTGGACTCTGTGCCAGACTGAGCCTCTACCCCAGGCAGCTAACTAATGTTTGGAGACCTCTGGGGAGGCATGGCAGCACTGCTGGCCCCATGCCAGTAGCTATACCTGCTGACCCAGGCCTCTTGGACTGAAGGACATGCTTCCTGCTCCTCCTTCTAAGAAGCCACTTCTTGCCCCTCTGCCTTCTTGCACATGAGATGCAAAAGCCACAAAAGTAAGTAGAGAAAGTAGGAGAAGTAGAGAATTTACCCCGCCTACGCCTGGGAAGAAGGTGCGGAAGTTGGGGCTTTTCCGCTAGTGGGCAGGAAGTGGTCCCAAATTGATCTGTGCTCAGAGTCAGGCTCCCTTCCCCCGGCCACTGGATCTGGTGGTGAGTGACGGCATGAGAACTGGCACCTACCCAGGGGCATGATGTCACACCTGCGCCAGCATCTGCTCACTGGGCTCCACGCCCAGCCTGTCATTGGGCATCACTGCCCAGCAGCCCCTCACTCTGCCCCATCAGGCCTCTGGGCAGTGTGTGTCTTCAGGCCTCCAGTCCCAACTCCCTGAAACAAGTACAAGGGGTAGAGGATCAGAGCACTGGAGGGTCCAGACCAACCAGATATGTCCAGGGTTGAGGTGGTTTGGGTCTGTTTGGTCCCTGGGGTTGGGGAAGGTGGGGTGAGGAATCTGACTGTCTGGGTCTTTCTTGCTCAAAGGGTCACTTGTGCTGAAAAAGCAGGCTTGCTCTATGCTTGCACCAAAGCCTTATACCACCCTGGAGTTGCTGCAGGCCCAGGGGGCCTGAGCATCTTTAGGCAAAGGAACCCCTGGGCACTGCTCTCTGAAATGAACAGAACTGTCAGGGACTGCAGATCTACCTACCACCTACTCTCCCCAACTGCTGCCCTGTCACTTGGTAGTCCCTCAGGCTAGATGAGCAGAGTTTGAGGGCCTTGAATCCATCTTTCTGCAAGGCTGCAGGCTTCCAGGACTACAGGGCTAGAAGTCAGGGACTTGGCTTTTCATTCCAACTCTGCCTCTAGCTTGTTGTTTGACCGTTGGCTAGCCATGAAGAGTGAAAACACACTTCTCTGTTTCTTTCCCAGGAATATTGCTTCCTGCCATCCCTATAAGGTGACAAGGAGCAGAGTGATGGAATTTTGGGGAGTAAAGACAGAGAGGAAGTGCATTAGTCTAGGGAATGTCTTTGATATGCAGGCCCTTTGGGTCCTCACTTGGGCAGGAACAGCTGGCAGAGGAGCAGCCGCAGGGGCCTCCTGGTGCCACTGACCTCTGAGCCCATGTCAGCCCACGCTGAGAATACCCTGGCCTCCTTTTTCCTCCTTGAGAGAAGGCCTGGGTTCACTCCCAACTGTACTCCTTACCAAATCATCTCATCTCTCAAAATTCATCATTAAATGGGGATGTAGGCCGGGTATGGTGGCTTATCCCTGTAATCCCAACACTTTGGGAGGCCAAGGCAGGTGAATGACCTGAGGTCAGGAGTTTGAGACCAGCCTGTCCAACATGGTGAAACCCCATATCTACTAAAAATACAAAAATCAATGGGATGTGGTGGTGGGTGCTTGTAGTCCCAGCTACTCAGGAGGCTGAGGCAGTAGAATCACTTCAACCCGGGAGACAGAGGTTGCAGTGAGCCAAGATCATGCCATTGCACTTCAGCCTGGGTGACAAGAGTGAAACTCTGTCTAAAATAATAATAATAATAATAAGTAAATAAATAAATGAGGCCAGGCACAGTGGCTCATGCCTGTAATCCCAGCACTTTGGAAGGCCGAGGAGGGTGGATCGTGAGGTCAGGAGTTCAAGACCAGCCTGGCCAAGATGTAAAACCCTGTCTCTACTAAAAATACAAAAAATCAGCTAGGCATGGTGGCAGGCACCTGTAATCCCAGCTACTCGAGAGGCTGAGGCTTGAACTTGGGAGAAAGAGGTAGCAGTGAGCCAAGATCCTGCCGCTGCACTCCAGCCTGGGTGACAGAGTGAGAGGCCATCTCAAAAACAAACAAACAAAACAAATGAATGAATTAATTAACGGAGGTGTGACCACCTACCTCCGAGATCTTTTGTGAGGATAAATGTATAAGCGCCCTTTGTAAACTCCTTACTAAAGTAGACCATGACACTGTTTGTCCCTTCATTTGAGAAGGCACTGCCTTTTCTGCCTCACCATTCCCTCCCCTTCTCAGCAGCACTCTCCCTTTCTGCAGGGCTGTAGCAGCTCCCTCTTGTCCCTGCGTGAGGGACAGGGAACTGAGTGCTGATTGCTTGGGGTGGGAGCAAACCTGCAGTACCCCAAGTCCTCGCACCTTCTCGGACCAGTCTGTCTAGCTCCAGCTCATCTTCAGAGCTGTTCATTCTGGAATACGATAGTATTTTCTCTAAGGCTAGTCTGTCCAGGTCTCTCTGAGTAGATGTAACCTTGTGAACTGCTTTGGCCCCTAAATCTCTCTAGCCTCCCTCAGCCTGCCAGCAGTGATGAGCACTACAAGTTAGAGGGGACTCAAGAGTTCTTCATGCCCTTTCTCAGAATGGTCTTGCTGTTTGGAGCAATACATTTGACATTTTTCCTTTATTTTCTGAGCACTTACCAGAGGGGCTTGCTTACGTGTATGGTGAGGGGTGTCTAGGATTCTGTCTTTGTGTCTGGGAGGTGATGTCTCACAGTGTTCTGGGAAGAGCCCCACCACTTTGGGAGTTTCAGGAAGAGACAAGGCAGGACTGGGGGTGCCCAGAGCTGCTCCATGGCCAGCAGCCCAGATGAGCCTTGGGTGACCGTCCCCAGCCCCAGCTGTCAGCCTGACCCAGCTGCCTTTGACTAAGCTGCTCAGGATGCAGGGCTGGGCAGAGGGTATGGAGGAAGAGCGCAGCAGTGAATGTGCAGCCAGCATGGACGTCAGAGCCAGCTCCGGGCCAAGGAATGGGGCAGAAGGATGTGTTTGCCCAGTGCTAATTGAGGGCACGGGGACAGTGTGGCTACAAGGCTGGAGGGGGGCTCTCATTACTTGGTGAGATAGATGGGCAAGCCAGAGATGAATACGGTCACTCCCAAGTGGCCTGATAAGTGTGTATTTGCTAGAAACCATCACGCCACCATAATAGACTGGGGGCTCTGTAAACAGTGATGATTTCTGTCCTAGTTTCTGGATGTGGGTGTCTAAATAGGGCTGCTTGGAGCTGGGTGTCTGTGCAGTTAGGGAAAGGGAAGCAGGTGCAGAGTCCTGGGGGGAAATGGCCACTATATCCATTGCCAACTCAATGTAAGGTTATGAATGGGGGAAATCTGGGTTGAGCTGATTGTGCCAAGAGGTGGCCAAGACTTTCCTGTGGGGACTGTTATCAGCTCAGCCAGTCCTCTTCCTGCTTGTGAACATTTGAACACTCTTGCTTTATTACTTTTTTTTTTTCTATTTGAGACAGGGTCTTGCTATGTCGCCCAGGCTGCAGTGCAGTGGTGTGATCACTGCAGCCTCGACCTGCTGGGCCAAGCAGTCCTCCCACTTCAGTCTCCTTAGTAGCTGGGACTACAGGCACATGTCACTATGCCCAGCTAATTGTTAAAAAAAAATTATAGAGGCAGGGTCTTGCTATATTGCCCAGGCTGGCCCCAAACTCCTGGGCTCAAGCAATCATCCTACCTCAGCCTCCCAAAGTGCTGGGATTACAGGTGTGAGCCACCATTCCAGGCCAACACTCTTGTTTTAGAAAAAGAGTGATTCTGGCCAGGCACGGTGGCTCATGCCTATAATCTCAGCACTTTGGGATGCCAAGGCAGGCAGATGACCTGAGGTCAGGAGTTCCAGACCAGCCTGGCCAACATGGTGAAACCCCTTCTCTACTAAAAATACAAAAAGAAGCCAGGCATGGTGGTGGAAGCTACTCGGGAAATTGAGGCAGGGGAAACACTTGAATCTGGGAGGCATAGGTTGCAGTGAGCTGAGATCACACCACTGCACTCCAGCCTGGATGACAGAGCGAGACTCAGTCTTAAAAAAAAAAAAAAAGAAAGAAAGAAAGAAAAAGAAATAGTCATTCTTGCTGTTCTCCACAAATAGAGACCCCAAGACCAAGGTGAAAGCTGTTGGCAGGGTCTTGCCTTGGGCTCAGGGGAGAAAACAGGGTTTCCTACCGTTCTACACGATTTATTCATTGTGCTGTGTCTGGAAAGAATAGTGTCTAGGAATCCAGCCACCTGGTTCTTGCCTTAACTCTGCACTTACTGGTTATGTGGGACCCTGGACTTTTGTTTCCATCCCTCTAAAATAAGGAGTTTACATTAAATTATCTTAAAGCCCCTTTCGATTCTGACAGTCTCTGATTCTCAGCCCTGTGGCTTAAATTCTTCCTCTTTCTACACTTTCTGACTCTGACTTCTCTTTACAGTTCAATGCAAAGTTCCTGGGCCCAGGCCTGTTCATCCCAGCACATGAGGTGTCACCATCCTTGGGGATATGAGGGCTTTGAGTTAGCAGGAAGGGACTGGTCATTTGTTTCCAGAATGAAGCCCTGGGCAGACTGCCAGAGCGTCAGTGGCTACCAGCAGATGTCCCTCCCTCCTTGGAACAGCAGCCCTTTCTAGGAGATGTCCTGACAACACCTGTGTACCCTGCACAGGGTCTCTGATGGGCCTGGGTGACATTATCTCACAGCAGCTGGTGGAGAGGCGGGGTCTGCAGAAACACCAGAGAGGCCGGACTCTGACCATGGTGTTGCTGGGCTGTGGCTTTGTGGTAAGTTCTACCCTCAGCAGGGCTTCAGTAGACTCAACCGTGGTCTTAGTTCTTTGCTATCCTCTGGCTTCCCTTGGACACCTAAGCCAACCTACCGCCCTCTTATTTTCTTAGTGTCCACTTCCCCGAAGGCTTTCTGATACTTGGGGCGGGGAGCTTAGTGATGTAAATGCCAAGTGCCCACTCACTGCAGCCTGCCGCTATCTGGGGTGTACTTGCAGGGCCCTGTGGTAGGAGGCTGGTACAAGGTTTTGGATCGGTTCATCCCTGGCACCACCAAGGTTGATGCACTGAAGAAGATGTTGTTGGATCAGGTGAGCAGGAGAACAGTGGGGAGGGTGAGCTGTGTTGCGGGTAGGTGGAGATTTAAGCACTCACAGGACTTGAATTTCTCTTCCCTAGGGGGGCTTTGCCCCGTGTTTTCTGGGCTGCTTTCTCCCACTGGTAGGGACACTCAATGGACTTTCAGCCCAAGACAATTGGGCCAAACTACAACGGGTGAGTTGGGCAGGCGTGGAGACTGTCTTTGGCTGTCCGGCTGGCAGCCCAGGGGAAGGAGTCAGGTTTCACCAGGATAAAAAGGGGCAAGTGGAGGTAGAGTCCTAGGCCATGGAGGGGAGGAGCTGAGGGCATGGTGCAGGAATGTGTTCTCTGAACAGACTTCTGTGTGACGTTCACACTGGGAAGTGAGGGCTGCTTGGAGGTGCAAGTGTTAATTTGTTCCTTCTCTGTCTCTCCAGGATTATCCTGATGCCCTTATCACCAACTACTATGTAAGAGCTGACACCCCTACTGCTTGTTCTCCTGCTTCCTTAAGTCTAGAACTATCCTGGGATTAGGGGTCCTCCTGACATGGAAAACCTCTCCGTTGGGATTCCTCTTTCATTCCCAGGATGGGCACCATAATTAGGGAAGCCATCACCCAATTGTTCGATTTTCTTGTGTGCAGAAGTTGGTGTAGGGCCAGGAAAGACAGTGAGTTTGGGGTCATGTGGAGGGGCAGCCATCCAACCTTTACCTTCTCTCTCTTGCAGCTATGGCCTGCTGTGCAGTTAGCCAACTTCTACCTGGTCCCCCTTCATTACAGGTATGCTGCACCCCTACCCCACCTATCAAGGAAGACCCACATTAGTAACGGTTGGAGAAAAAATGATTCTCATTTCAACCTTGAGCTACTTTAGACCCCCAACCGGAATGCTGAGCCCTGATCAGAGCTCCTCAGCTTCCCAAGCATGTTATTAAGAATGTCTTGCCATTTCCAGAAACTGTCACAGAATATCTGCCCGTTAACCTTCTTCATCTCCCTAGGGAGGATCCTGCTTCCATCACCCTTGTCTCCATCCCACCTGAGCTCTGCGCTTGATGACATATCTGCAGGGACAGGGTCTGGGGTGCTGCTGCCTAGGTTAGACAGATAGGTAGACCAGAAAGCCAAGTAGGAGCCTGGCCAGATACGATAAGATAGTTGCTGAACTGCACCCAAAAATATAGTGGAGCTGAAGATGCATGGCTCAAATGCTTAGAGGTGAGGGGTCTTGGGAACAGGGGAAAATATGGAACTCTTCAGAGGGGACATGGCCAAGGTATACATGAATACCATAGCTAAAAGGAATACAGACGGGCTGGGCACGGTCGCTCACATGTGTAATTCTAGCACTTTGGGAGACTGAGGCGAGAGGATTGCTTGAGTCCAGGAGTTTGTCACCAGCCTGGGCAATATAATGAGACCCCATCTCTGCAAAAAGCCAGGCATGGTGATATGCGCCTTTAGTCTCAGCTACTTGGGAGGCTGAGGTAGAAGGATCACTTGAGCCTGAGAGATAGAGGTTGCTGTAGCCGAGATCGTGCCACTTTATTTCAGCCTGGTGACAGAATGAAATCCTGTCTCCAAAAAAAAAAAAAAGAGAATACAGACTTATGAACCAAATCCATTAGGGTCCTTGTAACACTCTTTGAAACTAGAGCAAGGTTAATTTAAAACAAAAAGGTGCTACTTTATATGGTAGGCAGTACATTTTGGAAGATGAAATCTCAGCTGGTACAGGACAGATCAGTGAGTTTAGAAGAGGCCCAGACAGAGGTGTGAATAACAGAGTTTTGCATGGCAAGAGAGCTGCTAAGTATTTAGCCTTTGAGGCTCGCACCCAGGAAACAGAGCTCTGGGATGGCACAAGAATTTGGGCCAGTTGTCCTTTGGTCCAAGCGACACAGACCCTTCATAGGATGCTGAAGGGGCCAGGTGCAGTGGCTCATGCCTGTAATCTCAGCATTTTGGGAGGCTGAGGTGGGTGGATTACTTGAGGTGAGGCGTTCAAGACCAGCCTGCCCAACATGTGAAACCCAGTCTCTACTAAAAATACAAAAATTAGCCAGCTGTGGTGGAACACATCTGTAGTTCCAGCTACTCAGGAGGCTGACGCATGAGAATCACTTGAACCTGGAAGGCAGAGATTGCAGTAAACCAAGATCATGCTACTGCACTCCAGCCTGGGTGACAAAGGAGACTCTGTGTCAGAAAAAAAAAAAAAAAGGCGCTGAAGGAAAGAGACCGAAATCTGCCAGTACTCTGACAGGATCCCTCCTCCTTTTCCATCTCACACTCTGGTCTCCAGCCCTTGCTCATGCTTAGCCTTCCTCCTCTTCACCGTGCTATTCCTGTTCCTTAGGTTGGCTGTTGTCCAATGCGTTGCTGTTATCTGGAACTCCTACCTGTCCTGGAAGGCACATCGGCTCTAAGCCTACCTCACTCCATCATTTCCACTTTGCAGATTGGACCTGGAACAGTCAGGCAACCTCCTCAAAGTGGGCACAGCAGTTTCCACAGGATTGGGTTGCCAGTCAGAACTTAAGACTAGCACCCTGCCATTCCTCTCTTCACTCTAAAATGTACACTAACTGCTTTAGAGCCCTTTAAAATAGTCTTATTCCCTCCACATACCAAGCACTCTATGAATATCTGTTGAACTTCATGACCTTATCAACTTTACACCCATATCCCAGCAGATGCTACTCGTTCCCTCTTCATAGACACATTTGTTACTCTAACCCTGCCCAGCGTTATTGTAGCTCCAGCTCTTTAGAAACCCCAGAACCCTTTATATGGTGCCTCAGTAAATATGTTATTAAATATGTAGTCTGGAATCTGCAGTGGTAATAAGTTTTTAAGCAGAAAACTATAGGGAATCATTTCTAGAGCTGGAAAGAAGCCAAGAGACCACCAAGCCCAATGTTTTCTTTTTCTTTTTTTTTTTTGAGATGGAGTCTTGCCTGTCACGGAGTGCAGTGGCATGATCTCAGCTTGCTGCAGCCTCTGCCTTCTGGGTTCAAGCAGTTCTCCTCCCTCAGCCTCCCAAGTAGTTGGGACTACAGCTGTGTGCCACTACACCCGGGTAATTTTTGTATTTTTAGTAGAGATGTGGTTTCACCATGTTGGCCAGGGTGGTCTTGATCTCCTTGACCTCGTCATCCACCTGCCTCAGCCTCCCAAAGTGCTGAGATTACAGGCGTTAGCCACCACGCCTGGCCAAGCGCAGTCTTTTACAGATGAGGACCCTGAAGTTGGTAGAAGGGAGGTGATTGTCCACACCAGGAGTTAGCAGAAACTTGAACCCAGATTTCTTTACTGCCTACCCAGTGATTGTAACCTGAAGGTCATGGGCAGAGTAATACTGCTACTGTGATTCCCAGGAGAGAAACTGAACTTTGCTAAACTACCACTTTGGGCAAACTCAAAAGCAGATGGGCCAGCCATTTGTGATCTGAAAGCACTTAGAGGCCAGAGGCCCTGTTACATGGTGCCTTGGTCAGACAGCCCTAGAATTTGGATCCTGGGGCTGGAAAAAGATAAAGAATGCTGGGAGACTCTGGTTGTGACAGACTGCCCCTCGATGGGTCCCACTGTGTTGGCTGAGTGCCAGCGGTGCACTCCTGATGCCTCCATTTGCATAACTGATAGCTGCGGGGAGGCAATGGGGTCCAGTCACGTAGCCTTCTCGCAACTTCTCAGGCCTTTATAGAGGCAGAGGACGGGGTCAGCACCATGGACAGCCCTACGGTTCGGCCTCCCTTTCCTGTGTCGGATAAAGGACGACCCGGACTAGTCTGGTCTGGGGACCGCCCTAGTCACTGCTGGCTGTTCTAAGCAGGGCGAGGGACTCTCGTGGGTCCCAGAGCAGTCCTTATGTCCCAGCCGGCTTCTTGCTGCCCTGCGTCCAGTGCTGCTTCCAACGCTAGCCCCAGGGGCACAAAGGCTGGTGTCAGGAGGTGCATCCCTCTGGGGGCTCGCCAGCCGCCAGACTCGAAGCTGTGACTGTCATTGCTTCTACAATCAGTGCATGTTCTTCACTGACGTCAGTCGGAGCTGTCCTGGCGCTATATAAGGCTGGCGGCAGTCCCGGGACAGACCCTGTGTTCCCCAAGGCGCCTTCAGCCCGCCCCGAGGGACAGAAACTGGAGCTCCGTCTTGGACCGTACAAACACTCGCTGAAAACCTGTGAGTGGCTCAGAGCATCCGCCCAGCCTCCCCCAACATCAGGACTCCGCTCAGCTCAGCCACTGCGCTCCTCCGGGAGGGAGGCTGGATGGAAGGGGTGGAACAGCACTGGCGCAGCGGCTGGGGCTGGAGGGCAGGCTGCGGGCATTGGTCCGGCGGCCACAGGAGCCACCGGGAGTCGCGGGGCAAGCACGGGGAGGGGAGCGGCCCCCTACACCTGCCGGGCCAGTGCGGGGTGGGAAGCGGCCCCCTGCGGCTGCCCCAGGCGCATCTCTCTCTGCCCCGCCCCTGTGTGTCCAGGGCCAGCGGCACCATGAGGCAGGCGGGACGCGCGGCGCTGCTGGCTGTGCTGCTGCTCCTAGTGCATCTCCGCGCTGGGAGCAGCCAGAGGAGCCCCGAGGCGGCCGGGGTCCAGGACCCCAGTCTGCGCTGGAACCCTGGGGCGCGGAACCAGGGCGGCGGGGCCCGAGCCCTCCTCTTGCTGCTGGCGGAGCGCTTCCCGCGCCTCGCGGGACCCGGAATGACAGGGGAGCGGCCGCGGCGGGAGAACCCTCCTCTGTCCATTGACCTCACCTTTCACCTGCTGCGGACCCTGCTGGAGCTGGCGCGGACGCAGAGCCAGCGGGAGCGCGCCGAGCAGAACCGTATCATATTCGACTCGGTGGGCAAGTGATAGGCCTGATTTGGGGCCGCGAAAACTTTGACCCCTTTTCCCCACCTCAGGGTTGGGACGCGGAGCAGAGCCACCAGGGCATTCTCTGCGTGGCTATTTTTTAATAAAAGTGCTGAAGAGCTGTTGGCTTCTGTCGTGGGGGTGCGGCAGTCACAGCAGGGTGGGAAAGTGGGACCCCCATAGCCAGCGGGAGGGGAACAAGATGTGTGGGGGTTGGGGGGGTTCTGGGAGAGCGGCTTTCAGCCAGGTCAGCCAGGTGCCTGTGGACCCCAGGGCTCCCCAAATTCCCAGGACCTCAGAGGTCCCGGCACCACCGCCTTGCCCTCAACCCTCTTCCAAGGGTGCTGGGCTCACCAGTTCGCTCCTGGCATCACGGAGGTGCCCAATAGGGGTTCATTTGGCTTCCACCCTCCCAAACGGTCTCAGGTTCCAGGAAGGGCAGGATGGTGGCGGGTCGCCTCCAAGGCCGAGACTGAGGGATTGAGCAGCGAAAGGAGATACGGGTCTGGGAGCTCGAGTTCTTTATTAAGATCCTCCCGGGGCGGGCGCCGAGCTGGGCTACTCCGCGGTCTCTGCTTAGATCCTCCCTGACCCTAGCGCGGGCTCTCGAGCAGAGTCCGGTGGGCGCAGACCTGTGCCCCGGAAAGAAGGCTCAGTGAGCGGGTGCTGAGAAGGTGGGAGGCAGCTCGAGCCCCGCTCACTCCGTCCCCCGCCACGTGGGTTTCTCCTCTACTCAGCTGACCCTGCCTGCCCTCTCAGTAACCCGGAGGTACGGTGGGGGTGGAGGAAGGTGTACTTTTCCGCCCTGGGGGATGTGCCTTTGTGGCTCCGGGGTGGGGTGGCACCGAGGACTGGGGGACAGTAACGGGGGAGGGGACATGAGTGCACCAGCCAGGCCCCATTTCAAGTCCCTCAGGCCACTCTCACCTTAAGGCCCATCCGGCCGCTCTTCCTCCGGCCCCGCAGTGCCCTCGTCTCCGTCCAGGGCCACTTCCTCATCTTCTTCCTCCCCGGAAGCGCCTGGGCCCAAGGAAGGCCTGGTGAGGTGGAGTCCCTGCCTTTCCTGCCATTTTGCCCTCCTTGCCCCCACATGGAGGGTCGGAACCCCAGTCCCGGTGGCCCTCGGCCGCCTCCCTCACCCGGCTGGAAGTCGATGGTCCGCAGCATTTCCGCCACGTGCTCCACGCTCACGGTGAATTGCTCCATGCTCTCATAGCCTGGCTCTGGCCGCCCTGCCAGCTCCACCTTCGACATAGCCCCGACCCTGCGGCGACCACACTGGGCTCAACTGGCAATGCCCCAGCACCCTCAAGCCCCTCCCCCTGCCAGTGGAGCAGCGCAGCCCCCTCCTTTCCCTTCCCGCTGTGCCTACTCACTTATTGATCAGCTCCTTGGCCTGCTGCAGGGGAGAAAAGGAGGGTGAGAGTAAGCACTGGGCCAACCTGGGCAAAGTCCCTTTCTTTCTCACCACAGTCCTGCAGGGTAGGTGGGAAGGCACATCCCATTTCGTTAAGGAGAAAACGAACTCAGAGGGGGTGAATTGCCCAAGGTGGTAGGGGCAAGCAGGTCCAAGAGACAAGACTTGAACCTGGATGTCCAGGTGCCAAGGCCCTGACTCCAGCCACTCTGCAGCACTGCCACCCTCCCCTAGAGCCCACCTGGAGGTAGAGCGCCATCTGTGGCTCTTCCATGGACTGTATGGCAGACTCCACCAGCTTAGAGGAGGCCTCCAGGTGATCTCCGTACTGACGGATGAGGCCACGAACACGCAGCAGCTTCTCCTCTTGCTCCCGGGCCAGTGCCTGCAGCAGCTCGCCCTTGCGTTCCTCCAACACTGCACACAGGCTCTCAAACCTCTGGTTTAACAACTGCTTCTGCCTCCGGCTATTGTCCTAAAAGATGGGGAGCAAGGACAAGGGAAGGTGTGGCTGAAACCCGGTGGCTGGGAAATCCCAGGGTACTAGGCCTGTTCCCCACTTGATGGAGCTCACAGAGAACCAAGACAGAAAGTGACCGGTCCGCAGTGCCACTGTTAGTGGCTGAGCCAGAATCCAACCCAGATCTCTTCCATAATAAAAACGCAATGTTTTAAAGTAGCTTCACTGAGTGCTGTCTATATCCCTAGCCCTGGTTTTTACTTGTATTATTCCATTTAATTCTCAAAAAGAACCCATGAGGTAGCTAGTGTACCATTATCATCATCACTGTTTTATGAGGGTAGACAAAACCAAAGCACAGAGAAGTTAAATAACTGGATTAAAGTTTCTAGGCAAAGCTGGAATGCACACCCAGCAGCCTGGCTAAAGCCCATCCCACCACTCCCAGGACCCCAGAAACTTTCAGACCAGTTTGGCAACAGCAGTTCTCTTGGAAGGAAGCCCGGGGTCTCCAGGCCAGCCAGTTGCTGTTCCCCTCTCCCTCCAGCCCAGGCTCACCTCGATGGTCTGGCACACTTCCTCCATCTGCGTGATCACTGCTTGCACACGGTCATTGCCTGCCACCAGCATTGCGATGCCATCGCTGAGCTCACTCTGACACACAAACAGGTCAGCACTTAGAGCTGGGACCTGGCCTAGAGCTACACCCCTCACCTCAGCCAGGGTGGCCTAGAAGAGGGCTGTCCCCTTCACCCCACCCCCCATGAGGGCATCCGCAGTGATCTAGAAGACTTGAACTATCAAGAGGTACAGAAGCAGATTCTAGGGATTCTGGAAGGAGGTGGAGAGAAGAAGCCCTCCACCACTGAGTGGGAAGGAACAGACAGTCTCCATCCACCAGATGCCAGGCACAGGGCTAGATGCTTTATCTGTAGATTAATTTCTTGCATCAATTCTGAGAAATTCTTGATGATTATCCATTTGCATAATATTGCCTCTTCTGCATTCTCTTTATTCTCTCATTCTGGGAATCTGATTCTCACGCTCAACCTTCTCTCCCAGAGATACACATTCTGTTTTGTTTTGTTTTTTTTTTCAGTCTTCTCATGCTGTTCACTAGTTCTGTTTTCAGACAAAGCTGTCATTTAATTCATCTGTTTGTTTGTTTGTTTTTAGATGGAGTTTTGCTCTTGTTGTCCAGGCTGGAGTGCAATGGCGTGATCTCGGTTCACTGCAACCTCCATCTCCTGGGTTCAAGCAATTCTCCTGCCTTAGCCTCCCAAGTAGCTGTGATTACAGGCATGTGCCACCATGCCTGGCTAATTTTGTAATTTTAGTAGAGATGGGGTCTCTCCATGTTGGTCAGGCTGTTCTTGAACTCCCGACCTCAGGTGATCTGCCCCCCTCGGCTTCCCAAAGTGCTGGGATTACAGGCATGAGCCACTGCGCCTGGCCTGATTTTGTTTTTTTTTTTTTTTAAGAGACAGTCTCACTCTGTCACTCAGGCTGGAGTGCAGTGGTATGATCGTTGTTCACTGCATCCTCAAACTTCTGCCCTCAGGAGATCCTCCCACCTTGGCCTCCTGAGTAGGTGAGACTGCAGGCACATGACACCACTCCCAACTAATTAAAACAAAAAAACTTTTTTTAGAGATGGTGGTCTCACTATATTGCCCAGGCTGGTCTTGAACTCCTGGCCTTATCCTCTTGCCTCAGCCTCCCTAGTCACTGGGTTTACAGGTTCCAGGCACCATGCCCAGCCATCTGTTGAATGTTTTTTTTTTTTTTTTTTTTTTTTTTTTTTTTATATATATATTTTTTTTTTGAAACAGGGTCTCACTCTGTCACCCAGGCTGGAGCGCAGTGGCTTGATCTCAGCTTACTGTAGCCTCAAACTCTCAGGCTCAAGTGATCCTCCCATTGCAGTCTCCCAGGTAGCTGGGACTACAGGCACATGCCACTATGTCCAGATAATTTTTTATATTTTCTTGTAGACAGGTTTCAATATGTCGTCCAGGCTGGTCTCAAACTCCTGGGCTCAAGTGATGCTCCCACCTCAGCCTCCCAAAGTGTCAGGATCACCAGTGTGAGCCACCACATGGCTACACGGTTGTTTTTGATATTCTATTATTGTTTGGTTTTTAAAATTTTTTCATCTTTTTCTAAAAAGCATTTGATTCATAATGATTTCCAATTATTTCATAATTCCAATATCTCGGTTCCCTAGCAGGGAAGGGGGAGGTCCTAAATCTGTAATTTTTGTTTCTGCTGATTTTACTCATGGAGTACATTTTTCTGTGCACCTTCAATGGTGAGCTAATATTTTGTTGATATTAATCGAAGGAAAACCTAAGGGCCTAAATCGAGCATATTTTCTTCCAGGCAGAATTTGCATTTGCCTCTGTCGAAAGCCAGGTGGCACAATTTACTGCTTTTGCTCCTGGGATCCGTTTCACCTAGGGTCTTGGGAATCTTAGAGGCAGGTCCCCTCCTTTCATGGGTTCGGAGGAATAGTCTGGTTTCTCTAGCTCAGTGACACTGCCAGCACTGGTCCTCTTGGAAATGCTGCCTTTTCTGTGCTTGCCACTCAGTCTTTTCTCCTTGCCCGTTCCCACCCCCACTGACTGCCTTTGCTTCTATGTGCTAGCAATTTAATTTGAAAATTCTGTTTTATGCAGAATCTAGTTTGTGTGATAGTGATAGGACCCTGCAAGAGTCTCACCCACCACACTGAAGTCTGTTTTCATCGATTATCTAATTTTATCCTTGCAGCTACTTCCAGAAGTAGGCATTTTCATCCTCATTTTACACATGAGGAAAGTGAGGGCCGCAAAGGTCAAGTAACATATCTAGGTCACATACTGAGTCAAACACAGAGCTGGGGCTTTCACCCCAATCTGCTTGACTTTATTTTATTTTATTTTATTTTATTTTAGAGATGGAGTTTCAGTCTTTCTGCTCAGGCTGGAGTACAATGGCATGATCTTGGCTCACTGCAACCTCCGCCTTCCAGGTTCGGGTGATTCTCCTGCCTCAGCCTCCTGAGTAGCTGGGATTACAGGTGCCTGTCACCACACCCGGCTAATTTTGTATTTTTAGTAGAGACGGGGTTTCACCATGTTGGCCAGGCTGGTCTAGAACTCCTGACCTTGGGTGATCTGCCCACCTTGGCTTCCCAAAGTGCTAGGATTACAGGTGTGAGCCACTGCTCCCGGCTTAATCTGCTTTACTTTAAAACTAACTA